CTCAACCATAGGATCCTCTTCCATTAGCACCCCTACCAAACCTCTTATTCTTCATTCAGTTATCAAGTATGGCTGATAAAAAAGCAACTCTTTCTTGTTTAATGTTTATCTATGATGCTTCTACTCATCTTAATGTGTACATGATTGTGGTCATAGGGTGCAAACAATTCAGCCAGTGCATGCTACGCTAAGCTCTCTCCAGCAACAAGGGTCTTCTTTCCCAGGGATGATTGTGACCTCATGCCTATCATGCCAACTACACTTGTCAATGGCTGTGAATTCGAAGGAATTGGAACTGGTTGGAGTTCTTTCATACCAAAGTATAACTCGAAAGATGTTATTGCCAACATAATGCGTCGAAATGCTGGTGAAAGTATGGTTCCTATGGATCCTTGGTACCATGATTTTGAAGGAACTATTGAGAAAACTGAGTCCGATGATGACGGGTCTACTTACAGAGTCACTGGTGTATGTGATGAGCATAAGGAAAACACTCTTGTTATCACCATTCTACCAATCAGAAGGTGGGCTGATGAGTATAAGGAATTCTTGCGCACGATGAAGACAGATAATGGTCCCTTTATCCAGGTAGAATGCTTGCTTATAATCAGAAACTGTGATAGTATCCTTGTGTGTTTGTATCTCTGATTCAATTTTCTTCGTTCTGCAGGACATCACGGAGTACAATGGCGATTCATATGTCAACTTTAAGCTTAAACTGAGTGAAGAGAATATGATGAAGGCTCAGCAAGAGGGGTTTCTGAAAGTATTCAAACCCACCACGATGATTACTACAACCAATATGCATGTCTTTGATCGAAACGGCGTGATAAAGAAATATGCAACTCCAGAGCAAAGTAAGAAGAGATTCAGATTGTTCAATTGTGTGTTGTATTCACCATAAGATATTCTAAATTGTACATCTCACCTTGCAGTCCTTGAAGATTTCTCCATCCTCAGGCTTGAACACTATGAGAAGAAAAAGGTTAGAACATGTTAAAACTATGATTCAGTTTCTAGAGGTTTTAGTTATCTAAGGCAATGGTCTAACATTATTACATTAACCGTCTGATGTATACAGAAAGAAATGCTGGAGAATCTGGAACTTAAGAGACAGAAACTAGAAGAAAAAAGAAGGTTTATTCGTTTAGTTCGCAGTGGAGAAATTGTTCTGAAGGATAGGACGAAGGCTGATCTTGTTGAGGAGTTGAGTCAGAGAGGGTTTACACCATTCCCAGGGGAAGCTCCAGTTGACTTATCAATGGATGCAAGTGAAGAATCTGAACTTGAAGTTGAAGTTGAGGTATGGATTTCACAAAGACCAAACTCTTTTTTAACATGTTGACTTATCAAGTTTTTACCAATTTGTCACTTAAATTTGAATACATCATTTTCCTTGTGTTGCAGAAACTCGGTTTGGACGATGCCGAAGAAGAGAGAAAGACACAGCAGAAATCATGATCAGGGAGCACCACAAAGAAAGTTAGAAGGCAGTGTGAATCAGAAACTTATGCACAAAACTCCTTTGTTCAGGGATTTGGTCTTGTTAATCAAAATTACTTTTTAGTGTCACTAATAAGTAGACTTAATGAAAGCAAAAACATTAGTATAACTTTAGTTTTATGCTACCTCTCTCTCGTCTTCTTTCTTCTTTATATTTGGTGTTACTTTCGGATTGAGTAAAGAATCATGCACAAAACCTCAAATACAATAAATCCAAGCACTAGATTAGTATAAAAAATGGTTAAGCAATAAGATAGTCTGTATTTAACTGGATAATAACTCTTTGATG